GGCATTGATCTGCCGGGGGTATTTCCAGTCCTGGGTCACCCAAAACCCAGGTCGCCGTGCCTCAGTATCAAGTGTGTGTTTGTGTAAAGGCCTGGAGAAAAGGCTCCTCAAAGACAAGTGGGAAAGGGTGACAATATGGGGGTGGGGACCTGGGTCTGGCGTGGCCACCTTCCTGGCTGATAGGTTTCTCACAATGTGCGTGGATGAGAGCAGTGCTCCATGTGCAATAAGAGCAGAGAGCTCAGGTCATCCCTGCTTCCCAGAACAACGATGCTAATGGTCCTCTCCTGCTGTTGTTATATGTCTCACTGGGAGACACATACAATAGACCCTATGGAGAGATCAAAGAGTACAGCTCTTCACAAAGACTAAATCAAAGATCAACAAAGTAAGCACTAGAAAGAGGGTACTGGGAGTGGAGAGATGAGGGGCAAATGCTAGAAGGATGAAGGAGACAACGTGGAGAATGCAGGCAAGAATACAGTGCCTATGCCACAGAATTGAGAACACTGAGCTAAGGGTGGGTCAAAGGGGAAAGGTGAGGAAGGAATGACACAGATCCACATGCCTTGTATCCACGAACTGCTTTGTTCAATGATGTCAGCATACATGTCCTGAACATTAAGCAGAGAGAGGGAAGAGGTGGGGTGGGCAGGAATGTTGAAATGGGCAACGTTGATTAAGCCTCAGTGTGTTCATAAACTGCCTCACTGAACGGAACCCCCTTTATAAAGCGAGTTTATTTTGTTTTTATTTAATTAAAATAATTGTGTAGTTGATGTACAGAGCGGTTACAGTTATGTGAATCAGGTACAATCAATGCAGTTCTTTCGTTCTTTTTTTTTTGGTCCCGTCATGAGGCCTGAAGTCTGGGCCTGGGCGCTGTCACTCAGTTCTTCAGCTCAAGGCTAGTGCTCTACCACTTGCACCACAGCGCCACTTCCAGCTTTTTTTCTTTTTGCTTAGGTAGTACTGGGGAATCGAACCAAGGACCTCAGGCATGCAAGGCAAGCGCTCTACCACTGAGCCACCTTTCCAGTTCTCAGTGCAGTTCTTTATGAACCATTTTCCCCTTTTGTTTCTCTCTCCCAATCCTTCCCTCCTGTCCCCACCCATGAGATTTCCAGTTCATTTTCCACAGTGTTTGGTGAATATCACTGTGATATATATTCATTCCTGTCCAGATTTTATGTGACTCCATTACTTTCCCAAATAAAAACAATTAGTAAACAATACAAAATTAAAAGGGAAAATGTTTTTTTAAAAAACAAATGATTAGCACACTTGACTAATGGAATCAGAGTTAAACTTCTGTAAAGAAGTTCATATTAAATCTGGGTTTCTTGAAGCCAATTGATTACAGACATTTCATAGTTTATTCACTCATCTAACAAACTCTGTCTTCCACCTGCATCTCCTCTGTGCGCTGCCCTGCTGAGACTTCTGCCCAGAGCTGCTTTATAGCAGAGGACATGCAAATAGGACATCCCTCTGCCCATGAAAACCAGCCCATCCCTGACCTGAGCTCTGTGAGCTGATTCCACCAGTGACTGAGCACAGACCAGCACCATGGAGCTGGGGCTGCGCTGGGTTCTCCTTGTTGCTCTGTTGAAAGGTGATTCATGGGGACCAAGGGATACTGAGTGTGCAAATGGACACGAGTGGGAGGAACAGTGGATGTGTGACCATGGTTGACCAGGATTCTCTGTGTTTGCAGGTGTGCAGTGTGAGGTGCGGCTGGTGGAGTCTGGGGGAGGCTTGGTGCAGCCTGGGGGGTCCCTGAGACTCTCCTGTGTAGCCTCCAGATTTGACTTCAGTAGCTATGACATGAACTGGCTCCGCCAGGCTCCTGGGAATAGGCCTGAGTGGATTTCATACATCTATGATAGTAGTAGTATAAACTACGCAGACTCCATGAAGGGCCGCTTCACCATCTCCAGAGACAACAGCAAGAACACACTTTACCTGCAGATGAACAGCCTGAGAGTGGAGGACACGGCCGTCTATTACTGTGCTAGAGACACAGTGCAGGAAATCCAGTGTGGGCCAGACACAAACCTCCCTGCAGGGCGCTCTGCACCAGCAGGGGGCGCTGGGCACACACTGAGGTCATGCTCAGTCAGCACCAGCAGGGGGCGCTGGGCACACACTGAGGTCATGGCAGTCACAGGAGCAGCTGTGGAGCTCAGGCCCTGACTCCTCTGTGTGCCTGGCCTCTCCACAGGACGCAGCATCCTCCACAGAGCTGTCTGGCGTGTTAAGGGCTCCTTGCTGTGTGAGGTCATTGCTCTCCAATCCCATTGGTTTCTCTCCATCTGCTGAGAATCTGAGCAGAGTCCATCTGGCCTTCCCCACGCTGTCCTTCGTCTTCCTAGAGGAAGAGCAGACACTCGCTGCTCACTTTTTTTTGTTGTTGTTTTTTTAGGTAGGACCTTGGACTGGAACTCTGGGCCTGGGTGCTGTCCTTCAGCTCTTCAGCTAAAGTGGAGCACTCTACTACATAAGCCACGGCGCCAGTTCTGGTTTTCTGGTAGTTTATTGGAGATAAGTGTCTCAGGGACTTTCCTGCCCAGGCTGGCTTTGAACCACCATCCTCAGATCTCAGGCTCCTGAGTACCTGGGTTTACAGGCATGAGCCAGCGACACTGGGCTCATGCTCACTTGTTTACACTCAGCCTCTGCCAGACCCTGGAAATACTTCCTGTGAGTCACAGACATCTTCCTGATGCCTGGAATGCCAGGGAGGCCTTTGTTCCCTTGCTGGACGTTCCTGGGTGTAGGACATCGGGATGTGGTCAGGATGTTGTGAGGACGCTGCATCTGAACTCAGAACACACCGTGTCTCCCCATCCCTGGCCCTGAGGTTCTCTGTCCTCAGATGTCCTGTCCCAGCAGCTGCAGGAGTCACAGCCTGGCCTGGCCAAGATCGCACGTGGTCTCTGTTCCTGCCTGCACCATGTAGGTGGCACTGGCTGTCATTACTGATGGAGCCGGGTCCCACAGCCCCAGGGAAGCTGATGGGAAGGACAGGAGACATCTTCAACTGCAGCCGTCTATCAGGAGTCGAGTCAGTGTCTGAGAACACAGCCAAGAACCAGATGTCCATGAGCTGAGCACGGTGACCACCAGGACCCAGCCATGGATTACTGTGCAAGAGACAACGGGAGAGACATCAGTGTGAGTCCTGACACAGACTGTCCACCAGACCCTGAGCCTGAGCTGCGGAGGTGCTCAGGGCCAGCAGCCCTGGATCTCACCCCAGAAGCTGGGTGGGAGCTGGGTGTCAGGTGCTGTGATGCTCTCTGCTCCCATTCCCGGGGTCCCTCTGGACACCTCCCCAGCACCCACAGTCCCTCTGGACATGCCTTGGTTCTGTTTCTCCGTGGTTTGAATGGTGCTGTTTACTCTTTCATGATTCCTGAGTCTCTTTCTGTCTTCCTATCTTTTGAGCACAAACTGTCATTTGGGACCCTCACTGATGGAGGAAATTAGAAGAATGGAGGATGGTGCTAAGCTCCTAGTTTGCTGTTTGTGGTGCAGTGATTTGAACTCCATGCTTTGCACTTGCTAATCCGATGATCTGCTGCAGAATCAGGACTGCAGCACTGTTCACCATTGTTAATTTTTGAGATAGTAAGGTCTCAAGGAAACAACTAAGTGTAGAATTCAATAAAATAATGATCAAAATCCTGCATTGACAGTTCCGTAAAAAGATAAACAAATATTCAAGTACAAGAAAATATGCTTAATTCAATGAAATGCAAATCAATTCCACTGTGGAATATTACCTCACCTAAGTCAGTATGACTGTTATCACAAACATGGAAGAATATAAATGCTGGCTTTGGGTGCAGTGTGGGGAGGAGTTCTTCTGCTGAGAATGCACACTCCAAGGTGTTGTGCTGGTTTTTGGGTTTTTTTTAAACATTTTTAATTTTAGTAAGGTCCTGAGATTAAAGTAAAGTTCCAACAAGAGAAGAACAGAAAAAGTAAATGGGATAGGTGTGGACAATGGAATAGAACTAACCCACAGAATGGAAGAAAGACTGTCGTTTGTGATAGACCTAAAGGAAGTTAGCTTAAAGGAAATAAACCAACAATAGAAACACCAGTATCACATTATGTCTAGAAGAAATAGACTGCACAGAACAGAAAAGGAAGTGTTGGTTACTAGAGAATGAGGAAGGATGGAGGGAGGACAGGATTATTCGGAGGTTGGAAGTTGGGTACAAAATTGAAAGCAAATAAGGAATCACATGGTTGGTAAATCAATTTGAAGAACATGAAAATAATTTATTGATAGTTACCAAATCAATGGTTACCTATGAGAAATCTGTTACATGTAGTGACTCATTGAGGTTATGACAATATACAATACACGTGGGGGCTGGGAAGGTGGCTCAGTGGTAGAGCGCTTGCCTTGCATGCATGTGGCCCTGGGTTC